TCGCTCTCAGACTCGTGTGCTGGAGCCCATCTCCCCAAGCCCATTAGCTCAACCTCATTTGCTCTCAGACTCGTGTGTTCGAGCCCATCTCCCCAAGCCCGTCGGCTCAACCACATTCGCTCTCAGACTCGTGTGCTCAAGCCCATCTCCCCAAGCCCGTCAGCTCAACCTCATTCGCTCTCAGACTCGTGTGCTCGAGCCCATCTCCCCAAGCCCGTCAGCTCAACCTCATTTGCTCTCAGACTCGTGTGCTTGAGCCCATCTTCCCAAGCCCGTTAGCTCAACCTCATTCGCTCTCAGACTCATGTGCTCGAGCCCATCTCCCCAAGCCCATCAGCTCAACCTCATTTGCTCTCAGACGCGTGTGCTCAAGCCCATCTCCCCAAGCCCGTCAGCTCAACCTCATTCGCTCTCAGACTCGTGTGCTTGAGCCCATCTCCCCAAGCCCGTCAGCTCAACCTCATTCGCTCTCAGACTCGTGTGCTCAAGCCCATCTCCCCAAGCCCATCAGCTCAACCTCATTTGCTCTCCGACTCGTGTGCTCGGGCCCATCTCCCCAAGCCCATCAGCTCAACCTCATTCGCTCTCAGACTCGTGTCCTCGAGCCCATCTCCCCAAGCCTGTCAGCTCAACCTCATTCGCTCTCAGACTCGTGTGCTCGAGCCCATCTCCCCAAGCCCGTCAGCTCAACCTCATTCGCTCTCAGACTCGTGTGCTTGAGCCCATCTCCCCAAGCCCGTGAGCTCAACCTCATTCGCTCTCAGACTCGTGTGCTCGAGCCCATCTCCCCAAGCCTGTCAGCTCAACCTCATTTGCTCTCAGACTCGCGAGCTCGAGCCCATCTCCCCAAGCCCGTCAGCTCAACCTCCTTCGCTCTCCGACTCGTGTGCTCGAGCCCATCTCCCCAAGCCCGTCAGCTCAACCTCATTCGCTCTCAGACTCGTGTCCTCGAGCCCATCTCCCCAAGCCCGTCAGCTCAATCTCATTCGCTCTTAGACTCGTGTGCTCGAGCCCATCTCCCCGAGCCCATCAGCTCAACCTCATTTGCTCTCAAACTCGTGTGCTTGAGCCCATCTCCCCAAGCCCGTCAGCTCAACCTTATTCTCTCTCAGACTCGTGTGCTTGAGCCCATCTCCCCAAGCCCGTAAGCTCAACCTCATTTGCTCTCAGACTCATGTGCTCGAGCCCATCTCCCCAAGCCCGTAAGCTCAACCTCATTCTCTCTCATACTCATGTGCTCGAGCCCATCTCCCCAAGCCCGTAAGCTCAACCTCATTCGCTCTCAGACTCGTGTGCTGGAGCCGATCTACTCAAGCCCGTCTGCTCAACCTCATTTGCTCTCAGACTCGTGTGCTTGAGCCCATCTCCCCAAGCCCGTCAGCTCAACCTCATTCGCTCTCAGACTCATGTGCTTGAGCCCATCTCCCCAAGCCCGTCAGCTCAACCTCATTTGCTCTCAGGCTCGTGTGCTCGAGCCCATCTCCCCAAGCCTGTCCGCTCAACCTCATTCGCTCTCAGACTCGTGTGCTCGAGCCCATCTCCCCAAGCCCGTCAGCTCAACCTCATTCGCTCTGAGACTCGTGTGCTTGAGCCCATCTCCCCAAGCCCGTCAGCTCAACCTCATTCGCTCTCAGACTCGTGTGCTCGAGCCCATCTCCCCAAGCCTGTCAGCTCAACCTCATTTGCTCTCAGACTCGCGAGCTCGAGCCCATCTCCCCAAGCCCGTCAGCTCAACCTCATTCGCTCTCCGACTCGTGTGCTCGAGCCCATCTCCCCAAGCCCGTCAGCTCAACCTCATTCGCTCTTAGACTCGTGTCCTCGAGCCCATCTCCCCAAGCCCGTCAGCTCAACCTCATTCTCTCTCAGACTCATGTGCTCGAGCCCATCTCCCCAAGCCCGTAAGCTCAACCTCATTTGCTCTCAGACTTGTGTGCTGGAGCCGATCTACTTAAGCCCGTCAGCTCAACCTCATTTGCTCTCAGACTCGTGTGCTTGAGCCCATCTCCCCAAGCCCGTCAGCTCAACCTCATTCGCTCTCCGACTCATGTGCTCGAGCCCATCTCCCCAAGCCCGTCAGCTCAACCTCATTCGCTCTCAGACTCGTGTGCTCAAGCCCATCTCCCCAAGCCTGTCAGGTCAACCTCATTCGCTCTCAGACTCATGTGCTCGAGCCCATCTCCCCAAGCCTGTCAGCTGAACCTCATTCTCTCTCAGACTCGTGTGCTCAAGCCCATCTCCCCAAGCGCGTCAGCTCAACCGCATTCGCTCTCACACTCGTGTTCTCGAGCCCATCTCCCCAAGCCCGTCAGCTCAACCTCATTCGCTCTCAGACTCGTGTGCTCGAGCCCATCTCCCCAAGTCGTCAGCTCAACCTCATTCGCTCTTAGACTCGTGTGCTCGAGCCCATTTCCCCAAGCCCGTCAGCTCAACCTCATTCGCTCTCAAACTCGTGTGCTCGAGCCCATCTCCCCAAGCCCGTCTGCTCAACCTCATTCGCTCTCAGACTCGTGTGCTCGAGCCCATCTCCCAAAGCCCGTTAGCTCAACCTCATTCGCGCTCAGACTCGTGTGTTAGAGCCCATCTCCCCAAGCCCGTCAGCTCAACCTCATTCGCTCTCAGACTCGTGTGCTCGAGCCCATCTCCCCAAGCCCGTCAGCTCAACCTCATTCTCTCTCAGACTCGTGTGCTTGAGCCCATCTCCCCAAGCCCGTCAGCTCAACCTCATTCGCTCTCAGACTCGTGTGCTCGAGCCCATCTCCCCAAGCCTGTCCGCTCAACCTCATTTGCTCTCAGACTAGCCAGCTCGAGCCCATATCCCCAAGCCCATCAGTTTAACCTCAACCGCTCTCATATCCGTCTGCTCGAGCCATCTCCCCAAGCCCATCAGCTCAACCTCATTCGCTCTTAGACTCGTGTGCTCGAGCCCATCTCCCAAAGCCTGTCAGCTCAACTTCATTCGCTCTCAGACTCGTGTGTTCGAGCCCATCTCCCCCATCCCGTTAGCTCAACCTGAGTTGCTCTCAGACTCGTGTGCTCCAGCCCATCTCACCAAGCCCACCAGCTCAACCTCATTCGCTCTCAGAGTCATGTGCTCAAGCCCATCTCCCCAAGCCCACCAGCTCAACCTCATTCGCTCTCACACTCATGTGCTCAAGCCCATCTCCCCAAGCCCGTCAGCTCAACCTCATTCGCTCTCAGACTCGTGTGCACGAGCCCATCTCCCCAAGCCCGTCAGCTCAACCTCATTTGCTCTCAGACCCGTGTGCTCGAGCCCATCTCCCCAAGCTCGTCCGCTCAACCTCATTCGCTCTCAGACTCGTGTGCTGGAGCCCATCTCCCCAAGCCCATTAGCTCAACCTCATTCGCTCTCAGACTCGTGTGTTCGAGCCCATCTCCCAAAGCCCGTCAGCTCAACCACATTCGCTCTCAGACTCGTGTGCTCGAGCCCATCTCCCCAAGCCCGTCAGCTCAACCTCATTCGCTCTCAGACTCGTGTGCTCGAGCCCATCTCCCCAAGCCCGTCAGCTCAACCTCATTTGCTCACAGACTCGTGTGCTTGAGCCCATCTTCCCAAGCCCGTTAGCTCAACCTCATTCGCTCTCAGACTCATGTGCTCGAGCCCATCTCCCCAAGCCCATCAGCTCAACCTCATTCACTCTCAGACGCGTGTGCTCGAGCCCATCTCCCGAAGCCCGTCAACTCAACCTCATTCGCTCGCAGACTCGTGTGCTTGAGCCCATCTCCCCAAGCCCGTCAGCTCAACCTCATTCGCTCTTAAACTTGTGTGCTCAAGCCCATCTCCCCAAGCCCATCAGCTCAACCTCATTTGCTCTCCGACTCGTGTGCTCGGGCCCATCTCCCCAAGCCCGTCAGCTCAACCTCATTCGCTCTCAGACTCGTGTCCTCGAGCCCATCTCCCCAAGCGTGTCAGCTCAACCTCATTCGCTCTCAGACTCGTGTGCTCGAGCCCATCTCCCCAAGCCCGTCAGCTCAACCTCATTCGCTCTCAGACTCGTGTGCTTGAGCCCATCTCCCCAAGCCCGTCAGCTCAACCTCATTCGCTCTCAGACTCGTGTGCCTGAGCCCATCTCCCCAAGCCTGTCAGCTCAACCTCATTTGCTCTCAGACTCGCGAGCTCGAGCCCATCTCCCCAAGCCCGTCAGCTCAACCTCATTCGCTCTCCGACTCGTGTGTTCGAGCCCATCTCCCCAAGCCCGTCGGCTCCCCCTCATTCGCTCTCAGACTCGTGTGTTCGAGCCCATCTCCCCCATCCCGTTAGCTCAACCTGAGTTGCTCTCAGACTCGTGTGCTCCAGCCCATCTCACCAAGCCCACCAGCTGAACCTCATTCGCTCTCAGAGTCATGTGCTCAAGCCCATCTCCCCAAGCCCACTAGCTCAACCTCATTTGCTCTCAGACTCATGTGCTCAAGCCCATCTCCCCAAGCCCGTCAGCTCAACCTCATTCGCTCTCAGACTCGTGTGCTTGAGCCCATCTCCCCAAGCCCGTCAGCTCAACCTCATTCGCTCTCAGACTCGTGTGCTCAAGCCCATCTCCCCAAGCCCATCAGCTCAACCTCATTTGCTCGCCGACTCGTGTGCTCGGGCCCATCTCCCCAAGCCCGTCAGCTCAACCTCATTCGCTCTCAGACTCGTGTCCTCGAGCCCATCTCCCCAAGCCTGTCAGCTCAACCTCATTCGCTCTCAGACTCGTGTGCTCGAGCCAATCTCCCCAAGCCCGTCAGCTCAACCTCATTCGCTCTCAGACTTGTGTGCTTGAGCCCATCTCCCCAAGCCCGTCAGCTCAACCTCATTCGCTCTCAGACTCGTGTGCTCGAGCCCATCTCCCCAAGCCTGTCAGCTCAACCTCATTTGCTCTCAGACTCGCGAGCTCGAGCCCATCTCCCCAAGCCCGTCAGCTCAACCTCATTTGCTTTCAGACTCGTGTGCTTGAGCCCATCTCCCCAAGCCCGTCAGCTCAACCTCATTCGCTCTCAGACTCATGTGCTCGAGCCCATCTCGCCAAGCCTGTCAGGTCAATCTCATTCGCTCTCAGACTCGTGTGCTCGAGCCCATCTCCCCAAGCCTGTCAGCTCAGCCTCATTCGCTCTCAGGCTCGTGTGCTGAAGCCCATCTCCCCAAGCGCGTCAGCTCAACCGCATTCGCTCCCAGACTCGTGTTCTCGAGCCCATCCCCCCAAGCCCGTCAGCTCAACCTCATTCGCTCTCAGACTCGTGTGCTCGAGCCCATCTCCCTAAGTTGTCAGCTCAACCTCATTCGCTATTAGACTCGTGTGCTCGAGCCCATCTCCCCAAGCCCGTCAGCTCAACCTCATTCGCTCTCAGACGCGTGTGCTCGAGCCCATCTCCCCAAGCCCGTCAGCTCAACCTCATTCGCTCTCACACTCGTGTGCTTGAGCCCATCTCCCCAAGCCCGTCAGCTCAACCTCATTCGCTCTCAGAATCGTGTGCTCAAGCCCATCTCCCCAAGCCCGTCAGCTCATCCTCATTCGCTCTCCGACTCGTGTGCTCGAGCCCATCTCCCCAAGCCCGTCAGCTCAACCTCGTTCGCTCTCAGACTCATGTGCTCGAGCCCATCTCCACAAGCCTGTCAGGTCAACCTCATTCGCTCTTAGACTCGTGTGCTCGAGCCCATCTCCCCAAGCCTGTCAGCTCAGCCTCATTCGCTCTCAGACTCGTGTGCTCAAGCCCATCTCCCCAAGCGCGTCAGCTCAACCGCATTCGCTCTCAGACTCGTGTTCTCGAGCCCATCTCCCCAAGCCCGTCAGCTCAACCTCATTCTCTCTCAGACTCGTGTGCTCGAGCCCATTTCCCCAAGCCCGTCCGCTCAACCTCATTCGCTCTCAGACTCGTGTGCTCGAGCCCATCTCCCCAAGCCCGTCTGCTCAACCTCATTCGCTCTCAAACTCGTGTGCTCGAGCCCATCTCCCCAAGCCCTTCAGCTCAACCTCATTCGCTCTCAGACTCGTGTGCTTGAGCCCATCTCCCCAAGCCCGTCAGCTCAACCTCATGCGCTCTCAGACTCGTGTGCTCGAGCCCATCTCCCCAAGCCCTTCAGCTCAACCTCATTCGCTCTCAGACACGTGTGCTCGAGCCAATCTCCTCAAGCCCGTCAGCTCAACCTCATTTCCTCTCAGACTCGTGTGCTCGAGCCCATCTCCCCAAGCCTGTCTGCTCAACCTCATTCGCTCTCAGACACGTGTGCTCGAGCCCATCTCCTCAAGCCCGTCAGCTCAACCTCATTTGCTCTCAGACTCGTGTTCTCAAGCCCATCCCCCCAAGCCCGTCAGCTCAACCTCATTCTCTCTCAGACTCGTGTGCTCGAGCCCATTTCCCCAAGCCCGTCCGCTCAACCTCATTCGCTCTCAGACTCGTGTGCTCGAGCCCATCTCACCAAGCCCGTCTGCTCAACCTTATTCGCTCTCAAACTCGTGTGCTCGAGCCCATCTCCCCAAGCCCTTCAGCTCAACCTCATTCGCTCTCAGACTCGTGTGCTTGAGCCCATCTCCCCAAGCCCGTCAGCTCAACCTCATGCGCTCTCAGACTCGTGTGCTCGAGCCCATCTCCCCAAGCCCGTCAGCTCAACCTCATTCGCTCTCAGACTCGTGTGCTTGTGCCCATCTCCCCAAGCCCGTCAGCTCAACCTCATTCGCTCTCAGACTCGTGTGCTCGAGCCCATCTCCCCAAGTTGTCAGCTCAACCTCATTCGCTCTTGCACTCGTGTGCTCGAGCCCATCTCCCCAAGCCCATCAGCTCAACCTCATTCGCTCTTAGACTCGTGTGCTCGAGCCCATTTCCCCAAGCCCGTCCACTCAACCTCATTCGCTCTCAAACTCGTGTGCTCGACCCCATCTCCCCAAGCCCATCTGCTCAACCTCATTCGCTCTCAGACTCGTGTGCTTGAGCCCATCTCCCCAAGCCCGTCAGCTCAACCTCATTCGCTCTCAGACTCGTGTTCTCGAGCCCATCTCCCCAAGCCCTTCAGCTCAACCTCATTCGCTCTCAAACTCGTGTGCTCGAGCCCATCTCCCCAAGTTGTCAGCTCAACCTCATTCGCTCTTGCACTCGTGTGCTCGAGCCCATCTCCCCAAGCCCATCAGCTCAACCTCATTCGCTCTTAGACTCGTGTGCTCGAGCCCATTTCCCTAAGCCCGTCCGCTCAACCTCATTCGCTCTTAGACTCGTGTGCTCGAGCCCATCTCCCCAAGCCCGTCAGCTCAACCTTATTTGCTCTCAGATTCGTGTGCTCGAGCCCATCTCCCCAAGCCCGTCAGCTCAACCTCATTCGCTCTCAGACTCGTGTGCTCGAGCCCATCTCCCCAAGCCCGTCAGCTCAACCTCATTCGCTCTCAGACACGTGTGCTCGAGCCCATCTCCTCAAGCCCGTCAGCTCAACCTCATTCGCTCTCAGACTCGTGTGCTCAAGCCCATCTCCCCAAGCCCATCAGCTCAACCTCATTCGCTCTCAGACTCTTGTGCTCGAGCCCATCTCCCCAAGCCTGTCAGCTCAGCCTCATTCGCTCTCAGGCTCGTGTGCTGAAGCCCATCTCCCCAAGCGCGTCAGCTCAACCGCATTCGCTCCCAGACTCGTGTTCTCGAGCCCATCCCCCCAAGCCCGTCAGCTCAACCTCATTCGCTCTCAGACTCGTGTGCTCGAGCCCATCTCCCTAAGTTGTCAGCTCAACCTCATTCGCTATTAGACTCGTGTGCTCGAGCCCATCTCCCCAAGCCCGTCAGCTCAACCTCATTCGCTCTCAGACGCGTGTGCTCGAGCCCATCTCCCCAAGCCCGTCAGCTCAACCTCATTCGCTCTCACACTCGTGTGCTTGAGCCCATCTCCCCAAGCCCGTCAGCTCAACCTCATTCGCTCTCAGAATCGTGTGCTCAAGCCCATCTCCCCAAGCCCGTCAGCTCATCCTCATTCGCTCTCCGACTCGTGTGCTCGAGCCCATCTCCCCAAGCCCGTCAGCTCAACCTCGTTCGCTCTCAGACTCATGTGCTCGAGCCCATCTCCACAAGCCTGTCAGGTCAACCTCATTCGCTCTTAGACTCGTGTGCTCGAGCCCATCTCCCCAAGCCTGTCAGCTCAGCCTCATTCGCTCTCAGACTCGTGTGCTCAAGCCCATCTCCCCAAGCGCGTCAGCTCAACCGCATTCGCTCTCAGACTCGTGTTCTCGAGCCCATCTCCCCAAGCCCGTCAGCTCAACCTCATTCTCTCTCAGACTCGTGTGCTCGAGCCCATTTCCCCAAGCCCGTCCGCTCAACCTCATTCGCTCTCAGACTCGTGTGCTCGAGCCCATCTCCCCAAGCCCGTCTGCTCAACCTCATTCGCTCTCAAACTCGTGTGCTCGAGCCCATCTCCCCAAGCCCTTCAGCTCAACCTCATTCGCTCTCAGACTCGTGTGCTTGAGCCCATCTCCCCAAGCCCGTCAGCTCAACCTCATGCGCTCTCAGACTCGTGTGCTCGAGCCCATCTCCCCAAGCCCTTCAGCTCAACCTCATTCGCTCTCAGACACGTGTGCTCGAGCCAATCTCCTCAAGCCCGTCAGCTCAACCTCATTTCCTCTCAGACTCGTGTGCTCGAGCCCATCTCCCCAAGCCTGTCTGCTCAACCTCATTCGCTCTCAGACACGTGTGCTCGAGCCCATCTCCTCAAGCCCGTCAGCTCAACCTCATTTGCTCTCAGACTCGTGTTCTCAAGCCCATCCCCCCAAGCCCGTCAGCTCAACCTCATTCTCTCTCAGACTCGTGTGCTCGAGCCCATTTCCCCAAGCCCGTCCGCTCAACCTCATTCGCTCTCAGACTCGTGTGCTCGAGCCCATCTCACCAAGCCCGTCTGCTCAACCTTATTCGCTCTCAAACTCGTGTGCTCGAGCCCATCTCCCCAAGCCCTTCAGCTCAACCTCATTCGCTCTCAGACTCGTGTGCTTGAGCCCATCTCCCCAAGCCCGTCAGCTCAACCTCATGCGCTCTCAGACTCGTGTGCTCGAGCCCATCTCCCCAAGCCCGTCAGCTCAACCTCATTCGCTCTCAGACTCGTGTGCTTGTGCCCATCTCCCCAAGCCCGTCAGCTCAACCTCATTCGCTCTCAGACTCGTGTGCTCGAGCCCATCTCCCCAAGTTGTCAGCTCAACCTCATTCGCTCTTGCACTCGTGTGCTCGAGCCCATCTCCCCAAGCCCATCAGCTCAACCTCATTCGCTCTTAGACTCGTGTGCTCGAGCCCATTTCCCCAAGCCCGTCCACTCAACCTCATTCGCTCTCAAACTCGTGTGCTCGACCCCATCTCCCCAAGCCCATCTGCTCAACCTCATTCGCTCTCAGACTCGTGTGCTTGAGCCCATCTCCCCAAGCCCGTCAGCTCAACCTCATTCGCTCTCAGACTCGTGTTCTCGAGCCCATCTCCCCAAGCCCTTCAGCTCAACCTCATTCGCTCTCAAACTCGTGTGCTCGAGCCCATCTCCCCAAGTTGTCAGCTCAACCTCATTCGCTCTTGCACTCGTGTGCTCGAGCCCATCTCCCCAAGCCCATCAGCTCAACCTCATTCGCTCTTAGACTCGTGTGCTCGAGCCCATTTCCCTAAGCCCGTCCGCTCAACCTCATTCGCTCTTAGACTCGTGTGCTCGAGCCCATCTCCCCAAGCCCGTCAGCTCAACCTTATTTGCTCTCAGATTCGTGTGCTCGAGCCCATCTCCCCAAGCCCGTCAGCTCAACCTCATTCGCTCTCAGACTCGTGTGCTCGAGCCCATCTCCCCAAGCCCGTCAGCTCAACCTCATTCGCTCTCAGACACGTGTGCTCGAGCCCATCTCCTCAAGCCCGTCAGCTCAACCTCATTCGCTCTCAGACTCGTGTGCTCAAGCCCATCTCCCCAAGCCCATCAGCTCAACCTCATTCGCTCTCAGACTCTTGTGCTCGAGCCCATCTCCCCAAGCCCGTCAGCTCAACCTCATTCGCTCTCAGACACGTGTGCTCGAGCCCATCTCCTCAAGCCCGTCAGCTCAACCTCATTTGCTCTCAGACTCGTGTGCTCGAGCCCATCTCCCCAAGCCCATCAGCTCAACCTCATTCGCTCTCAGACTGTTGTGCTCGAGCCCATCTCCCCAAGCCCGTTAGCTCAACCTCATTCGCTCTCAGACACGTGTGCTCGAGCCCATCTCTTCAAGCCCGTCAGCTCAACCTCATTTGCTCTCAGACTCGTGTGCTCGAGCCCATCTCCCCAAGCCTGTCTGCTCAACCTCATTCGCTCTCAGACACGTGTGCTCGAGCCCATCTCCTCAAGCCCGTCAGCTCAACCTCATTCGCTCTCAGACTCGTGTGCTCGAGCCCATCTCCCCAAGCACTTTAATGTTAGCTTGTGTTATTCAATATAACTTCCATCAATTACCTAGAATGGTGTATATGGAACAGCGATGTGAACAATGCTTGATGGATATACGCATTTGCGAGTCAACCGCTCAGAGTTACCATACAAACTACTTACACAAGCTACGCAGGCCGTCTCATCTCAACCCGAAACTCTAGGTGAAACTCTAGGTCTAAACGATGCGATGAACACCGCCGCTGCCCCCTCCTCATGTGATGAGCTGGAACGTTTCAAGGTTTCAGCTGATAGTAGAACCTTTAAAACCAAAAACCGAGGGTACTTCCACCTGAGAAGGGCATAAACGTTGGGGGCAAGTCGAGGGTTAGCAACCATCTTTTGATGGCATGGCCAGTGAGAAGATGTGATAGCATGAGAGCCAACACCAGGAAAAATGATGAGGTATTGAATTGTGACAGTTTGTGACACAGAAGAAATAGATTGTATTTTGAGGCATTGGCATGTTGTGACAACATGATGTGACAACATGATGCAGGGCAAGTAGGATGTAGTCGTCATTATGCCATCATTAAGCCATCATTAGTGTTCCGTGGGTGACAGCGTACTTACTATCAGGGGCTCGTTTGCAATCACCAACATAGTAATTGTATGTCGACCTGTCGCATAAGGAGAATGTGCGGATGCAATACTGGGATAGAAATGTATCTTGGCCCTTCCTCACATAAGCACAAGAATATTTACCTGCGGCCCACTCGAAAGGACGACATAATACTGAAATTTGAGGTAGTTTTGAGTCAGCAGCAACAACACACAGCGTTGCAGATAAATGAAATCTCCCAGCTATGACTGATTGGCGGGCATAGCGAACGCCGAGATGCGGAAGATTTCAGGATACATTGTTAGAGATGAGGGAAAAGGAGGAGGGGGAACTTACTATGTCTTGCTCCTTGTGCAGATTGTGTTGGCGATGCTGTTGAAGACTGCGGCTGGCTTGTGGGGTGCGCCTGTGTGGACGCTACCTGACTGTTTGAAGGGCGAAGTTGACGTTGTGGTGGCGTTGATTGCTGTCGATACGGGCAGTGTGTGCGAGGGTGCCCTGAAGTCTTGCAGAGATGACAGAACCGATGTACGGGTTTTGGTTGATGCCAGTTGTTGTTGTTGTTGTAAAGCTGTTGAGTGTGGAACGCAAACCCGGGTTCTGACGTTTTCTTCTTGTGCCACTCCTCTTGTAGGTCCATGTCTTGCTGTTCAGCGTGAATTTCAGTGCAGAGTGCTGCTTCGGAGATCTTCCCGTGAGCTCGGAGTATGGCGTGAGTTGAGCGCCAGTGAGGACCAAACCTCCAATAACAACTGTGACGAAGGCGTCTTCCGATATCGACCCTCCACATCGAAGGAGTTTGTCGCGCAATTCACGACAGCGACTGATATACGCCATTCCCTTTTCACCCGGTTTCATTTCCACTGTTGTCAGTTGTGCCATTAACCGACTCTGACTGACAGTGTCTGTTGCTTGATACAGGTTCTTCAAGTGGTTGTACGCGAGCTCAGCGGAGTTGCCGTATCCTCAGTAAGACCGAATGTTCTGCTACTGGTTTGGAGTTATGTTCCTCAGCAAAATCGTGTGCGCCATCATCGACTGGTATGTGTACTGCTGTTTGTCGTATTGCGTCCCGTGTGTTGGGTATGGCAGGGACCCGTCGAAGAATCCAAGAATCTGCGCGCCTTCCATCATTAGCTCGAATTCGAATGACCAGGTAAAGAAATATTTTCCGTCGAACGGTCTTGATGTCTGCAGTTTTAAGACGTGCACGAACTGCGACTGAACTTGAAGTGCATCCAATGTCTTCTCTTGCTCAGGTGAAGGCTGCTGGCGCGGCATGAAACTGACGGAACCACGCTGGGGTTCGTACGGGGCAAAGGTAGGTTGTTGTTGCTGATTTCCTCGCGCGTAGGATGAACCGTCAAGGCTCATCGGTGTCACGTTGTCGTTGTTGTTGTTGCTGTTGTTTGAATGTGCCCCTTGTTGGTGTTGTTCGTAGAAGGACATGAAGGAGAAGAACTTCTCCATCATGCTTGGGTCGAAGCCCGCGGCTTGATTTGCGGGAGTTTCAGTAGACCCGGCTGCTGGTCTTGTTGCCGTACCCTCCTCTGTCTGTGGGCCAGAGGCAGGAGGTGGAGTAGGAGTAGTACTGGGAGAGCCGTTAGAGGAGCTTCTCTCCTTCTGTGTTGCCATGACTTCAGATGTTGTAGGTGTCTTCGAAATAGTTGAGTTTGCCCTGATAGCTCTCATACCATGTTGGGTTGAGAAAAGCCCTAAGGATCTTTGCAAGGCTAAACCCTAGGTAGGACTTGTTGTAAATGCGGAAGCGTATAATAATGAGTCTTGAACCACCTTGCGCTAGTATGTGAGGGCAAAGTAGATTGATTAATCAAAGAGATACAAGGCTTTTATAAGAGTACAAGGAATATGAAAAGATGCAACTGATAACTGTTTACTGTTGCTGTTGCGGTTCGATACACTGACGACTCGGGCAACAGCTCAATAACGAGTCAGCTGTTTGTCCTTGCTGTCGCGCTGTACTTGTCAGGTCAAAGGTCGCTGACCTTTGACTTCCGCGTAACCTCCAGCGGTTTCTTCACTTCTCAACCTCCAAGTGTTGACTCGTCGATGCTTCGCTGTACTTCGCCTCGTTTACTATTTGGTGTTTCGACACACAACAGAAGCGTTCAATTAACTTGTTTCCAACACTCCCCTTTGCTTCTGAAGTGTCGCTGCTGGTGACGTGGCTCTGTCCAGTCAGCAGCATGCAGTACTCGAATTTCTGCTTTCCGAACTTCTTGGTCAAGTTGTCAACTACCATCTCAGACGTGGGGCAGTATGACAGCTCGAGTCTTCCTTTCTCGATCTCGTCCTTCACGAAGAAATATCGTAGGGCGATGTGCTTTGTCCTGTTTGCGAATCCGTTTTTGTTTACGATGCGAATTGCAAACGGGTTGTCGCAGAACAGAGAGAAGCTCAGAAACTGGGCCAGCTTCGCTTCTTCCAGTAGTTCACAAAGGTATAGTCCTTCCTTGGTGGCTGAGCAGAGTGCGATATATTTTGCTTCAGCTGAAGAGAGGGCGATTAGCTCCTGCTTGCTCGACTGCCATGAGATGGGTCCGATAGGTTCGAGTCGGTAGATGTAGCCGGTGCGCGAGCGCCTGTTGTCAAAAACTCCAGCGTGGTCGGCGTCAACGTAGCCGATTAACTTAGGCGTTGTAGTTCCGCTCTTGTGGTAGGTTAGTCCGATCGTCGGGGTGTTGAGGAGGTAGTGAAGAGCGCGGTCGAGCTCCGCCATATGCTTTGTTTCAGGTTTCTTGAGGTAGGTAGCAAGTTGACTTGCAGAGTACGATAGATCCGGTCGGCATGTGACGGCCGTGAAGAGGAGGCATCCCAACTTTCGTTGGTAGTCGCGTATCCCGGCGGGCTTAAGTGGAGTGAAGCTTTCCTTGTGATTTCCGGTAGTGTAGCGATATGGCGTCGTGATGGCCGTTGGTGTGAGTCCGAAGCGTTTGGCGATGGTGTCGGCGTACTTCGCAGCGCTGAGGTAGATTGCGTTCTCTTCTTCTTGGATGTTGAGGCCGAGGTATTGCGTGACGGTGGATGAGACCGTGAGAGTGAGATCCTTTTGCAACTCCCCTTCAAACCAGGTAGTAACGCCGTCAGTCGAGCCGATGTAGAGCAAATCGTCCACATAGACGATGAGCAGAATGTAGTCGTCGCCTTTTGTGAGCCGGTACATGCCCTGGTCGTGCGGTAGTTGGTGGAATCCGATGCGGATAAGTCTAGCGTGTAGGTACTGTTGCCACAGTCTCGGAGCCTTTTTGTTACCGTACAGGGACTTCGGCAGCTGACAGACTTGGTTGGGCTCTCCGTCGGAGCCATGTGGTAGTTCGACGAAGATTTCTGCGTCAACAGGTGCGTAGAGAAATGCATTGGCGACGTCGATTTGCCACAGCTTCTTCTTCTTCATGGCGGCTACTGCGAGGAGAATTCGCAATGAGGTATGTCGGCTGACCGGAGCGAATGCTTCGGTGAAGTCGCGTCCGTGCTCTTGGTCGAAACCGCGCGCCTTAAACTTGTCGATAGTGCCGTCTGCCTTTGTTATTACACGGAAGACCCATTCTCAGGCGGCCTGTCCCCGAAGTGAAGAAGTCGACTGAACAGTCTCCCCTTTGCTGTCACCCCTTTGCAGAATCGGATTGCGATGACGCAATTAGACAGAATTTCGACGAATATATGATTCTTTCATGGAGGATTAAAAACAGCCCAAGGATTAAGAAGTCGTGTGAGGATCGCCGTGCGAAAATGCTTGCAGAGTGCAAGCAATGGGGCTACTGGTGAGATGCATGTTTGTGCTTGGGCTATGCTTCTTGGTGCTTGGGCTATGCTTGTTGCCTGGGCTATGCTTGTTGGTGCCTGGGCTATGCTTGTTGCGTGGGCTATGCTTGTTGTTGCCTGGGCTATGCTTGTTGTCTGGGCTATGCTTGGTGCCTGGGCTATGCTTGTTGGTGAGAGGGCATTTCTTGTTACTGAGGGCAATATCATTATGACTAACTCGTGCCATCGTCTCCCCACCGTGTCCTCTCTGCAGATCCACCACTTGCTATTAAGAAAGAGCAGCACCTCGCAAACACCCGGCGGGTTCGCTGTCAAGACTGGGAGCGTGTAATACTGGGGGGGAAGAGGAAGAGCCTTTGGCTTGCTGCAATGGATGGTACTAGCCTTGTGATCATGTGGGTGTGTACTGTATGCGGGTGATTGTGGGTACTTTGTATTCTTGTAGATGGGTGCTTGGGGTGCCTGGCTGTGAATCAGTTACTAGCAGTAAAGACAGTGTGCGAAGCTCTCAAATGAGGCCCTCATGACGCGCTCAAACGAGGCTCATGCGAAGCTCTCAAATGAGACTCATGCGAAGCCTAAAATGAGGCTCAAATGAAGACCTTATGGAGCTCAAACGAAGCTCGCATGGGACTTGAATGTTTCATGCGAGGCTCGTGCGAGCGACCATGAGTCTCGAATTTTCATGCGATACTTATTGGAGCCTCATGTGAGCGGGTGGTGTACTGAGGGGTGCTCGGTTCTTTGACTGGTCAAGGGGTGCCTTGACTTTCCTCGCGCTGGTCAAAAGCGTGAAAGTCAAGACCCGATCGTGGGTCAAGGTACACACGATGCCCAACCAGTGCACGCGAAATTGCCCCGCCCATGATGGAAACCTTACACCTGTAGGTTTTTTGCACTGACGTTGCACCCTGTTTATAAGCACCTGAAACCACTTGACCCCACCTGGTGAATACTCCCAAAACTGCGAACGTCGATACAAACAACAGCCGCCGACCTGGACATTCCTCGTTTTGTAGGCCAGAAACTGAGTCCACGAAATGTCTGGACGAAACTCCGAAAAGGTCGCCGGGGTTAAGGCATGTTACGTCATGCCACGTTGGACGTTACCGCGTGCATATAACAGTCGCAGAACGCCACCTGTACCTTGCCCTTGCTCGATACACGCCCTCTGTGAGCCATTCAGACTGTGAGCAGCACACGTCACCCTTTATGGTTGTGGTTACATGGTAGCACAACCTCTAAACATCAATCCAAATGCACTCACGAGGAGCACCATCTTGCACTCCTTCCAAGCCGCGCATACTGCTTCAAATTGACATAAATCCTCCCGTCACTCTTCACTAACTCAATTTCACTTCCACCCTCAGAGGCACACAATGCCTCGTCTCTATCACCGCTCTCAGCTTGCGCTGCACATCAAAAGGGCCATCTGCGCCCACCATGTTGCTCACCCGCTGCTCCGCCATGTGGATCTCGCGCGTTGGTGTTTCACGCGCTTTGGGGTACGCCCCGACCGATCCACCATCGGCCGCGTGTTGAAGGGCGCCGAACAATGGCGCATCCCGGACGACGCTGTTGACGCTATTCGTGTGCGTGGCGGCGCGTACCCGGACCTGGAGCGCGCAATGGCACGTTGGATTGCCAATGCGGGTCCCGCTGGCGTTCCGCTGATATTGGCCACAATCCGCGACCATGTCGCTACCATGGCACGTGCGAATGGTGTGCCAGCGACATTTCGCTGCTCTATTGGATGGGTGCGGCGTGCTTTGTGCCGCCAGGGAGTAAGGTGCATGAGCGCTGTCGGCAAAGCGGCAGACCAGGACATGAACGCCGTCCGCACCGCTCGGGAGAAGCTCCCGTAGCTTCTCATGCAACTTGGCGTACGCCCGCGTGATACGTTCAACTTCGACGAGACGGCGCTTTTCATCTCCGTTCTGCCGCGCAAAAACATACGGCACTGGCAGGTCGGTGGGGCGGAAGGCGCCGAAGGAACGACTCATCGTCGGATTCCTGGTGAACGCGGAGGGCTCGCACGCCTTCCGCCCGCTCGTCATCTCCAAGGCGAAACGGCCCCACGATTTCCGGCCGGACTATAATCCAGAGGAGTTGTGCTACTGGCGCAACACCGCCAAAGGTTGGATGACTTCCTCGGTGAGTATGAGTGCATCCGTTGTGTTGCCACTGTGTTTGATACGTTCAGCTTGCGTTGCTGTCATAAGGACGGCGGAAGTGGCTTTCACTACCACCGCCAAAGATACCACATTACCGGCCCTGTAACTCACCCCTCTCAGCCTTGTCTTTTGTATCAACCCGTCTGCTTGCTTGGCAGCTATTCACGCACTACATCGAACAGCTCGATGCTGCCATGAACGCAGAGGACCGCAACATTGTTGTCCTACACGACAACGCCAGCAGCCACAATCTGACAACCGCGGGCGCCGTGACCGAAGATCTCTTCGGGTTCCGTACGCGTGCGCTCAAGAACGTGCGCCTGGTGTTCATGCATCCTAACACCACCTGCTTCATTCAGCCCCTTGACCAGGGGCTCATTGCCATGGCGAAGGCGCGGTACCGCCAGCATTGGCTCTGCGCCTTCACGGGCATGTGGACTGCCGAAGGCGCCACCTCCGCGGCAGCTAGGTTCAAGCCGAACCTCCGTCTAGTGCTGGAGTGGCTCCATGACGCGTGGATGAATATCCCGCGTAGCACCATCCAGCGTTGCTGGTGGCGCACCGGTTGTCTCCCGCGCGCATGGGCGATGGAACTCCCGCACGTGGAGCCAGGAGTTGGCGGCGGCCCCACTGCCGGAGGTGACATCGGCCTGGACGATGACGTCAACGACGTGGGTAGCCTGATTGCCCAGCTCGGACTCGGGCCCAGCGCGATGCCCGCTCAGGAGTTTGTCGGCATCGATGACAACCAGCTGATGTGCGCCGAGCCCGGTGAGGATCCGTTGGCGATCGAGCCGCGATCGGAGCCGACGGCGGAGATGTGGGAGGCGCCTGCGTCGATGCAGGTGGTCTACGACGACAGCAACCCTGCGACGCGCGAAGCACGTCGCACCGCTCGGGCCGCGTGCGAAATGCTCATTGGCTATGCGCGCGCAAGATGCATCACGCCGCGGGGCCTGCGCGCACTGTTTGACATTCGTAACCCGATAATTGTCGCACGGATGGAGCGCGCAAGCCCTGCTCTCAACCTTAACGCGTCTCCGCCACCGGCAGAGACTCCACGTTGCCGTGGTCGCCTGCTGCCGGCGTGGACACCGGTGCCGACCCCTGACTGGGTGGCCCAGTCTGCTCGTCGGCAAGAGCTCATTGATGCCGGGGCTCCCGCCGTGATGTCAGGCTACTTGGCTGCCGCTGAGTGGATGCGCTTGTAAAGCCCCGTCATCACCATTTAGGAGGAGCGCACATCTCCTCCTCCTCCCGGCTGTGCGTGCGTCGTGAGAGGGGATTCTCTCCCCCTTGGAGGAATTTGGTTCCTCACTAATGCATCAGGTGTACGCCTTGTACACATTTGCAAGAATGGGCCAGTACGAGTGGGTATTTGGGTTGGGTACAGGTGGAGCAGCTTTATTGGGTGGAGGGATGAATGTGTTGTTTGTAACAATGCGGGACGTGAAATGTAATGGGGTGTTAATGAAATAGGTGAAAATTGTGGTAACATATCCATTGAACGCACACCAAACTAAGCCACTCCACACTGTTAAGAGAAAAGACAAGCGGGTAACAACCCTTGCCTTTTAGGAGCACCTCTGGGCCGTGGCGAAAGCCACGAAGTGCCCAAAATGACATGTGCGCTTATAAGCCCAGAGCACAAGGGGAGGACGGGGATTATAACGCGCATCAGGTGTACGCGCGTGTGGGACCACAGAGCACGCGCGTGTGTGCCGCGCACTGTTGCGAGCGTGCTGTACAGTACGATCGCAACAAGACAGGGCCCATTTCAGCCCTGTCCCATACTGTACACGCGCATGATTTCGATCATGGTACGCTGTACAGCACGACCGAGAAAAATCTCGGTCGTGCGTGTGGCACGAGGTGTGCTCGGAATTTACAGTTGAAAAACTGTTTTCCGAGTTGACTCACGGGACGACAAATTTCTCGCGAAAGTCATTTCGCTTTGCGGAATCATTTCGACACAGGTGCAAATCGGTTACTCCGTTTTTCAAACGGCAAAGACAGTTATACAAATGTGAGCTCGCATGAAGACATTTGAGCTACATTGAGGCAACATGCGAGTCTCATGAGTGTACACATTTGAGTTAGCAGAGGCGATTGTTACAAGTGCAATTTGAAGACAGTTTTCAACAGCAGGAGGATATAGCCAAATGCTCAAGGAGTTGTGCAACTTTTTTCAAGATACAGCGTGGCAAAATCCTGCAAGCCAGTTAAACAACTGTTTTCTAGTTGCTCCTGCCTGTGCGTAGAATCTATATAAATGTGTAGTTGTACCTGTCGAAATTAATCTAATGCATTCACGTTTTTCGAGCTCGCATTCTACTACTTCGTATTGACGAGAGTAGAAATATTACCTTGGTTCTGCCGAAATTCTTCTCGACCAGTTTGCTCGTCCTACAAGCTGAGCAAGGCATAACTGCTCACTTGCTATTTTCTACATCTCCAAAATGTTGACCACCTCAGGCTGACCCTTGGAATTTGGGAGCTCCCAGGTGACTACGGGGCTCCTTGTACCTCACCCGAAGGGGACTTCGAGGTCAGGTGCACACCGTTTTCACCCGAAGGTGTCCTCGGGATGATCAATTTCCTGGAAAATCACCCCCCCTGACCCCCAAGTGACCCCAACCTGACCAGCGGGGCGCCTTAAAAAAGTTCCGAACCGCGACCAAGCAAACATTGACCAATCAGACACGTCTAGTTATACCGAGTCGCTAAAATGCAAATATTGACGAATCGGAGGTTGCAATTCCTCGGATCGCATCCTAGGCAAACATTCACCAATCCGATGCCCCGAAAAAAAAAATAATTCGCGCTGGTAATACGCTGTGAATTCGCGCGACAAGCGTAGCACACGTCGTGTCACCAACAACGAACTATGACCGAAATGAAGTTAAAAAACTCACCCTAGATCGCAAAACAGGAACTTCGCGAAATCCGAGCAGCCTGTCACGAGCACCCTAAACCAGAAACAACCAGAAACAGGTGAGTCTTGTACACTCTGGCCTATCGATTGGTCTGAAAGCTGGAAACATCGCCAACTCAACAGGTTTAAAGCAGTAAAATTTCGCCACTTGTCATGCATTGGTGGTCGTAATCTGCTAGCTGCGCCGAAAGCTTCACACTTGCCATACAAAGATCGGGTGCACAAAATAAAAGAGAACCACACAATTCAACTGATCCAATATCTTCTCCAACCCTTTCAAAACACCTCGCCCAACCCCAGTACCGTTGCTAAACTTTTCCGAACCGTCTAATACCGCGATCAAGCCACCAGACACAAAGTAAGGCCTTCTATGCTGCTGCATCTAAATTCATTTGCTTAAAGATGCTTGACTTTTGTGTCTGATTGTGTACGCACACAGCACTTGTGTGTTTTTTTTTTTACCCCAGCAAAGTGTCTCGATCGGGTTGTGTATTGTCGTGTTTAGGTAAATTAACATGCGTTAGTGCTGTCGTGTAGCTGATATGATGCACAACTTCGCCCACCTTCTTCTTCTATATTATAATTTCTAAAGGTTTTTTGCCCAAATCCTTGCCTATCGCTTTCGCAGGTTCTTCCAGCAAAGGCTCCACTGCATCCACCGTCGCGCCGGCGTCAGAGCTGCCGCCTCCTGATCGAGCGCTGGTGGGAAGGGAGGCAAAGGGTGGTAAAAAGGGAGGCGAAGGGGGGTGGAAAGGGAGGCGAAGGGTGGTGGCAAGGAGAGATGGCGCGGGGGTGGTTGGGCGGGTGGCGGTGATCACGTTTTTGGGGAGCGACGAAGGTCTCACAAAGGGCAGCAACGGCTCCAATCGAGGGTAGTAGCACCCGTGGGTGACTATCGACTCGGTAAGAAATCATCTTCTGTAATTTCCCGTTCCTTTACCCAACAATAGTGCATGTGTCGGCATGTTGGCTGTTGTTACAGGGCGCCTCCATCCAACAGTAGACCATTGTCAATTCTATTCTGACTTGTGTGCAGGACGCGCTATGCTTATCTCGTGAATTAAGAGTATGAGCATTTTCGATGTGGTGTGGAAGTAACAGTTAGTGCAGCACTTTGGTATGTTCTGTCGTTTACGTGTTAATGTTTTTTCTCAGCTGCATTTATTGCGTTTGGGGGAAATAGACTGTCTGCTGCTGGTGTGTGGCAGGTGGTGTTAAAGGTGCAAGATCTATAGTGTTTTGTTATTTACCATGCCTCGTCGCTATGTAGTGTCTAGATATGCGTATTATGTCCAACAGGCACAGTTGTAGATTCCCTGTATTTGCTTGTATAATACGCCTGGATATATTGCATTTACTAATCTCTACTGTGTATTTGCTCGAGTATTGTTTATAGTTGGATATTTAAAGTACGAATGTAAACTTCTCATAGTGTAGCAAGTACAGTATCGTAGTCATTATAGCATGTAACGGAACACTCCATTGTGGTGGGCGACTCGGATGAACAGTGTTGACCTGCGCGTCACCTTTGGGTTGACTGCGAGGTGAGGTTGGGGTCTAGTTCGGGTGACCCAAACTTGACGGACCCTGGGACCTCAGCTGAACCTGGGCGCGTGACCCAAAGTGACCTCGAAGCCAATCTTGGGTCAGGTTGGGGTGAGACCTTTTTAGAGATGTACGCCCTTGGCTAGGAGGTGACAACCTGTAACACTTGAAGGGCTGCAAGTGATGTTAAGTGTTGCCAAGAAAAGTTTCTAATTGCTCTAATTGCTTCCGCATAACGTTATAGCTGTCAACATAATGTGCAATTGTGAGCTGACTTGGCTGAAGCCTAAGGCTGCTGCCTCGAATAATACTCAGGTCTTAGTGAACTCAAGCGCAAATATGCCACTCGTTTTGGCACCACCTAATTTTCCGCGAAGTATCATTGCTGGAGAAAGTATCTGACAATAGCCAGCAAGCAGAGCAATTTCTGAACTCGAAGGTTGAATGAGGAATCTGGTAGGGCACGTACCCTTAGCGGGTTCGATTTACATATCAAAGATGTGTCAGTTCAGGACGGAGCTGTTCGCTCTATTCCAAATCGTCCATGCGTTTTGCCGTGATTACATGATGCGAAATCTGGGAGGAATTTGCGAGCCAGGTTTGAATTGCACGGAAAAACATTGATTGAGCTGGATGCGCGTTTCAAAATTCTGCAACTCGGGTTGCGGTTTCCGCACTGTGCTGGAAAGGTTACACGCCCTGAGCCCATCCCAGATTTTCAGTCGGATGCCATCTCTAAAAAGGTCTCACCCCAACCTGACCCAAAATTGACTTCGAGGTCACCTTCGGGTCAAGCGCGTAGGTTCAGCTGGGGTCCTAGGGTCCATCAAGTTGGGGTCACCCGAACCAGACCCCAACCTCACCTTGCAATTAACACAGAGGTGACGCACCGGTCAACACTGTTCACCCGAGAAGCCCACCACAAAAAAGAGCTCCATTACATGCTATAATAATCACTGCACTGTACATTTCACAACTTCGTCTCCTTATAACGTAAAGTTTCCGCGCCACCGATAGAGTGCCTCGCTAACTGTTATAACAAGTTTCGAGCTACAGTACTATGAGTGTACAAACCCCCCTCGTTACGACCATTTAGAGGGGTTCATTGTAGCACCTTTTTTGCCAAATTTTCAAAAACACCACAAAATCAAAGCTTGATCCATAACACAAAATAAACCTCATTATAGCAGGCAAATAAAGAGCGTGGGTTCAGCTTCACGCCTAATCCCCGCTCATGCTTCCAGCCAGAGGGACTCTCTCACAACAAGCGAGTCCACATGGTTAGGGATAAACTCGGTGAACCCACTGCTGTTCACATACAGCCCGTAGTCCCCCCACTGAAATGCCCCCACCTCCTCGTCATACCACACCCCCTGGCTAATCCCCAGCCATTTCTTGACGACCTGCGATGTGATAGGGCACCAGTACCATGATCCCCTCCAGCTCCCACTCCGGATACGCCGCCACACATGCCTCATAGAAGATCTCACTCATGAACGGGCGACGATCCTTTGGCTCATGGCTCCAGTTGGGTACATCCTGCTCAAATTTCTCCACTGTCAGGAACCACCCAAGTGAGACGCAGGCAAATGGAGGGTGGATTAAAGGGAAAGGGTTTACGGGAGAGTTTGCAGGTGGTGGGTTAGCAACGAGCCTATGAACGATTGACAGTCATTACAGTAGCTCAAAGCATTCCAGGGCCGTTTCTCCACACCCAGGTCTTCATGGCAGGGTTTAGTTACGGATACGTTGGAGACAGGTCCCTGGCCAACCGGGGGGGGAACGGGCAGCCGCAAGCCCCGCGTATCCAGCACCCCAGGGTAGTATTGGAGGTATGATGCAAGCACTTACAGGGCGCGTAACGGTCGTACACCTCCTCCTTCACCTTCACCGGTAACTCGATTTTGAAGTAACCGGTTGCATCCACTTTTATCTCAAGGCCATCGATCAACGTGCGCCTCGCAATCGCAGACGAGTCAGTCCTAAACTTCGCCCACACCTTGTTGACCCGCAAGCTGTAGTTTTTGTCCTCCATCATCACCACGACGTCCTGGTAGCACACGGCGTAGTCCTTCCTCGGAACTGTCTTCAAAGCGTAACAGCGACTGCTGAAGTTGGGGAAGTAGGTCACTCCACGCGCCCGACACATGCATAGCAATAGCTTCATTGCCAGCTTGGTGTACACCTGCATGGGCGCATTGACACTCCAGGGAGACATAAGGGGTGGCATGAGGTTGGAACAAGCCTACATTATTGCAAAAGCCGTGAGAACAAGGAGCTGCCTAGGTTCAAGATATCAACCCCCGTATCCAGAGCATACGCGCGGTGCCCGCCAGCCCTACCCACATGTCCGCGCCTTCGTGCACGTAACTACATTCACATGAATCCGCTCGGGATCAGGGAGGCCGTTCTTCCGGACGCGGCTCTTACATTCAGGATCAAAGTCAACGACCACCGAGATGTGGTCGTCACCTCGGTCCCGCTTCAGCGTGCGGCCGTTTTTGGCACCGTTATCTCGTGCTCTGCGGGCGGGGGGGTGTTGAAATAGGGTAGCGGGTATTCTTCGTCAAAACTCATAGATGCATGGTGCCCAGCCCCTGCAACCGTCATACAAGTACAATACGTACCCGTCTTCGCTCATTGTATGTCCCGGGCGTGGTGCAGTGACCGGCTCAAGTGGGTTTTTCCACAACCCATGATTGAGTCCCTTCGTTTGCTCGCCAGGGGTGGCCGAAAGGAGTTCTCCACTTACACCGGGGCTGTGAGGATCTAGGATCTAGCTCAGGAAAGAGAGTTTGAATTTATTGAATCACCTGGGTACAACACAAGGCTATATGTAGTCTCGACACAAGGCCAGTTACCCAGCTGTTACGCGAATATTCTGAGGGTCACGAAGCGTCCCGAACAGAACCTTCCCAAACTCAGTATAAAGCAATTCAGTGGAAACCGAATAGGCTTGAGTTCGGTACACGTAACATGGTTCGGTGCTATAACTATTATAAAGTATAGGAATGCACCTAACCTAGGAAATCAAGCATATCTATACATGATAAAATAAACCCAAGCTAGACATAGCATAATAAAGTCTAGGCAAGCTAGCAAAGCCAGCATAAGCCGTCGTACTCTCACAGGGGCCAGGAACGTCATCCACCCCCGCGAGTGGCATTGAACGGCGTGTCGGATAGAGATGATCCACGCCAGTATGGGTCGCCCCAGCTGCGACCTTCTCTCCCACACGGTCGGCGGCCTGTTTCCCGCGTGCGGCGCCCTTCCCATCATCGGGCGGTGCAGGTGCCGCCCTCTTCGCCTCCGTGGTCGCAATGCCTGCCATCGGTGATGTTTGAAGCTTCTGCAGGACTACCAGCAACTCTGCTGCTGCTGCAGGGTTTCCACCAGTCTTGAGGGCCGGCCCTGCAGCGCCATTCAGCACGCGGATGAGGAGCTGGGAGATCACTCCCAACTCGACGCCAGCAGCGCCATCTGCTGGCTCGTCAGTTGCCTGATCGGGCCCGTCCTCCGTCGCACACATAGCGGAAGGTGCGGAAGTGCCTGCCCGTGCTCTCAGCGGCGTGCCTGCGCAGCTCAGAGGAGACCCACGGCAAGTCGCTTTGGGCGACTCTTGCTTCACCGGCGTCTGTATGCTGCCCGTACAGTGACCTGCACTCCTTGCTGGTGCGGGCATTGACTTCAGCGGGGGGGAAGAATGTGACACTGGATATGAGCCAACAGCCCTTTCCGTCACCTCAACCACGTCATCGCCGTCATCGCCTTCACCGCACTGCCCATCGCCATGATCCGGTCCATTGTTAGCAGGTGATGGCTCACGGTTGATTCGATTCCGTCGTGAGCCATATACATTGACCGCCTTCTTCCGACCTGCATTGCCTCGCGGAGTTTTCTGCCGCACGCTCTTCATCGTGTCCATAGGGCCCCTCGTCGCAGCTCGCGTATAAGTCTTGCGCGTCCCACAACCGGGAATCTTACGAGCCTCTTGTTTACCACCCCATGTCTGTGTGCCTGCACGTTTCGTCATGAAAGCATGGTCAGATTCAGAATCGGTCTCCGATGCGCCATCTTCAGGCCTCGGCGTCCACTCTTCATCTCTGGAAACCGAAGGGCTCCCGGACTCGTTAGCCACCGTTACGGACGGTGAGGCGGCACCGTCATCAGAGCCGTTTATGGTGCATGACGAAAAAGCATCCCCATGTAGAGCCGAGTAGTAATGAAGCCACGCTTTCGGTGTGACTTCACCGCTGTGTGGTCATCCGATTTCAGTGCACTCCATACCCGTCCCATGGTCTTTATCGCCACCTGCATGACCGTGGCTTGATATTGACTATTCAGTATTTCAACAAACATAACACCGCAATAGACAACAGTCCTTCAAATGTAACAGAAACACACATCACACAACACAGGAACAACTTACTTGACGTGCTCTTAAGGGGCATCTCTCACCCGCCACTGGAGGTATGTTGTCCTCGTTCGAACTGACGCCGACCTCCTTAGTCTTGCCTCTTTCTAGCTTGTTTTGGGCACGCGCTTCTACAAGCAGCGAATCCACAGACTCTTCGTATGGGTGCGCGTTCTCGCCGGTTTCGTCCTCGTTATGGGCCACGGAGATGGTATATGTTGCGGGATCCAAACGGTGTCCTCTGGGCAATGGGTGCATATGCGTGAAGTCGCACACAATGCGTCGGGCCTCTTGGACGTCTATCTTCCAGCGTCGGTCGGCGGCCCGCGCTTTTACACTCGATTTCACAAAGTCATCCGACCTCACAACAAATGCTGGTATACGTTCACGAGAGCCCTTTTCTCTCGTCGTGATTGCGCTGGCCGCGTGGCTCGTACTGACTTAACACAAGAGCACTTGGAAAAGGGTTAGTATGTGTGGAAGCTCTCCGTGCAACAATGTGACCAGCCCCAACAACGCGCTACTAGCCGTAGATAACACAACTAACAATCCACGGATAGGCGCAGTGCGCGGCACATTGGCCCGAAACCCTCGCATGAGGTGATGGCTGGGTCAAAATCAAGTCTCTTGTGTGTCACCCGAGGGTGACAGCCTCGGGACATACAGTGGGTGACGTGCCCAATCAGAAGGTTTCCGGGTTCTAATTAGAACCACAGATTGAGCTTGAAGATTCATCATTGGAAATGACGACACCAGCCAGCACCACACATGTTTAGGCTCGGCGCGACGCCGTCGTTTTCAATGCCTATCGGTCTATGCTATCATCCCTGAGCTGACGTGCCAATCGGTTAACCGTTGGTAGTTTGTCTTGGAGGAACAGTATGGAATGGCGAACAACAGAATCCGTCGTGTACAGCTTAGTATGCAAACCCACTTCTGGGATGGCCCGCAGTTAGGCCGCGGTATAGTCGCCCTCAAATTTGACCACGATCACATTGGTCACAAAATGTGGGGTTACCCGAATATTGTACGCGTACGCGCAAGTTTTGAGCTGTTGCCTCAAACGCAGAACTTTCCGAAATGCAATACTCGCTCGATCCTCGGCCTCACATGTGGGTATAACCTGGAAAAATGCACCACGTTGCTTTTGCTCACAAAGATCCCATTATATACAAGTACTCTCTATCGCCAAGTGCTCCATCCAAGATACCACCATGGATAAGCACGAGAACGCTTTCGTCTATGCCACAACAGAGGCCTTTACCTCTTACACTATACCCTACCCTAATAGTCGAGGTTATCTTACATTCGATAAAAGGGAGGCCAAAACTCTTAAGGCCGAAGGGTGGCTGTCGGGCGAGATCATTGAATGGTTCGGCATGTGAGACACTTTTACGATTTGGCAGCGCACTCTAGTTTGCGTTTTATATTATGAAATACTAATCCTTATCAACATCCATCCCGTGTATCACACAGTCTGCTCTGGTACAAGGCCGTTGAGAAAGAACGGTTGTGGATCTACTGTGGTACTTTTTTCTACCCTCTAGTCAGCCGGGCAGACGCCTCGACAACGTCAATGAACTATGCCGCTGGGGAGAACATACTTTCGTACAGTTGGGCTCTCATTCCGCTGCACATCCAGTATGCTCACACACCTTGCTTTTCCCACCATGACCACTTTCGTACAGTTGGGCTCTCATTCCACTGCACATCCGGTATGCTCGCACACCTTGCTTCTCCCGCCATGACCCGAATAGATGCACCAACGCCTCACTCTATAATGAATCTCGCGCAGAGACCATTGGAGCCTCGTGATCCTGGACAACGACAGTGACAGGAACCCGCGCTACATACCAAAACCCACCCGCATCTTGCACGCGGATTCCGCGAGCCAGCATGAAGGTTTCTACGCCCCAATACGACGGTGAGTTGCTTTCTTTGCATATGTCCATGGTCATATCCGCGCTGGACGTTCACCCACTCTAAATCCTCTTCAACTCCTTTCACGTACCTCAAACTGCAGCTCAGGGCATACCGCCCCTGGGTGACTGATGCTCAGGCAGACACATGGGAGGCTGGGCTGACCTCTAAAAGTCTTGATGTGAGTGATGTTTCCACCCAAGAGCTGTTGGCCAATCACATTGCCTCTGATATGGTTATTCTTTGCTCGCAGGTGCCTCAATAGCCTAATGAATGGGACTGTGGAATCTATGTTATCAAATTTATGCAGCATCTCGTTGAAACCGGGTTCAGGAATCTGGAATGCATGCTGCTTTATGGCTCGTCCACACAACGGCGCGGGGAATTGCAAACCTACTTTCTGCTGTGGAGTAACTACTATAGAGACCATAAGACTGGTTGTTAGTTCGTGTACTACCATGTTGTTTCCACTATTATGATATGCTGTTTGTAAACATTGTTCGGTTTGCTTAATAGAAGTATAGTGAGTGAATCTGACACTAACACCGGCAAGAATGGTTTACACAAAGTTTTAAAACACTAGCACACCGTATCGTGAAGCCCCTATGCAAATATCGGAAATGTAGGACGGAGGCCAAAACCGCGTACAGCATTTGCCTGGTTGGTAGGCACGATTATTAGTACTACCGGTTTGGGGTTTCAAACCCCAGACCAGCTCTGGTAAACTCGTAGGTTAGGCTGTAGCTACCTAACACTACCCGCTTGGCCATGGGAGATAGGGAACCATCGCCCGAGAACGAAACTTCAGAAGTCGGTGACTTTGTTAAGCGTGATGGCATCTGGGTCCTGTGCGACTACCATTTCCGATCGCCGTTGGGCTGCGGCCGTGGCGGGACTCCCCCATTGGCTGGTGACGAACATCGTGAGGCGCTCCATGACAAGCCTGCAGACCGCTTCCGCAGCCCTTCTGCTTTTTGCGACATCCTCGAGGACGACACGGACGACAACGATCCCGTCGGCTCACCCGACGGTGCTGCAGTCGCGAGGATCGTCACGGCACCCGCCGGTCATTCATGCTAAATACTGTTCTCGTTAAGAGCAAGTTACTCTATACTTAACTAATTGCTAACCCCTGCATTCAATTTGTCGTGCACCATGTCAGCTGCAACGCCCGACAGGCCGATCGCCCCGGCAGGCGTTCCAAGCAGGTCGCCTGCTATGCGCGACTCTCCATGAGCTCGATTGAAGGGCAAATATCCCGCTACTGCCGTCGCAAGATCGGTCTATGGTAAGGCGTCGACTCCCTCCGTAATTCTCGCATGTTACACTCTCCCAGGGACATTCACACTTATGCCTCTCTCTCTACACAGGAAATGTGCACTCCAAAATATCGTCAATCAACGGTCTTCCTCGTCGCTACACCCTGCGGCACCTGAGGAGGACGATATGAAAGGGCAGCCTACACATCGCCATCGTCCCTCTGCGCCAAATGGCAACATGGCCGAGGCAAACTGTCCCACTCCAGGGGGGGAAATCAATCCGGCGCCCCTTGGTAGGATTGAGCGCTAGTGGATTCTCTGTTACTACATTCACCATATGATATGTTAGGGTTCTGACCGTGCCTCACACCAACCTGAGCAGGGGCAACATATTCCGCCATGCCATCCCCAAGTGGAAGGACACAGAGGCGGAGTGCAGGCCGATACGGGAGTCACCGGGGAGCGTGTCTCACCGTCAGCAAGAGCATCCTGCTCACGCACCAACAACATCCACTGTCCGCAATGAAGATGCAGTGCAGCCCTCAGGCGCAATGGTTGCAGCATTGCCAGGTGAGCGTCGCGTAGATGCCCCACTGTCGTGCTCACTGCACTACGCGCGTGTGTCTAATGTTTTCCCTGCCTCTACATGCAGGCATCACCGAGCTGACTGATTATGACGTCCTGGTCATGTATATTCGGACATCTTATAGTCTGTTGCCTACTCACAGTGCCAAGCGTCATCGCGGCGAAAGCTAGTGCCACAGCTCTTCTGGGTCTGACAGCTGATCTGTTTATTTCAAGATGCAATTCCGAATGCGGGCCTGGTTGCTGGTATATGACATGAGAATTGTGATGCTCTGAACGAGTCTCTCCGTCTTGCTATTTATTTGTAGTTGCACTGTTGCCTGGTCGTTGCCAATAAGAGACCAGTATGATGACTTCTTAATAATAAGTTTATTGCTTACTAGCTAGGCACGCCTGGTAGCTATTCAATTCAATCGTTATATCAACAAATAACTGAACACTTTTCGTGGGGTTGCGAAACAGATACCAGCCAGATGGCGATGAAATTCATTTCGCTGTACAACCGAGCATCAGTCCCATTCACCCTCGACCCTGGCTTTACGCGCTGCATCCCATTAGGGTTTCGGATTTGCTAGGAAAGTTCCTAGGGTGACTGTCCTGTACTTCGCTCTAATGCCCGGTCATAGGCATTTCTAGCCGTTACACTGCCGTATTTCTGCTCACTGTGGAGGCGGACAATGCCTGTCCTACCGTGCGAGTGGTGCGGGCGGATAACAAAGACTCTCCAGGGACTGGGTTCGCATATGCACACCAACAAGCTCTGCTTAGACGAACAAGCGAGCCGTCGTAGGGATGGATTCACACGCAGGAGGTACTTCCGTGGCCAGGATGCCAATGCCGCCTCTAGACACCCTGCTCCGGCGCCCTCGTTGCCTCAGACTACACCAAATGTCCCCATGGATGCGGATGCAGATCTACAGACCGAACCAAGCGAGCTAGACAGTGATGGCAGCGACGACGACATTCCTCGTCGAGACATAAAGGCGGATCTAGTATGGCTGGCGCGTAAGCACTTCTGGTCAAGCGCCTGCATCAACGAAGTAATTAGCCTCCTTCGTGATAGAGATTGGTCCCCGTCGGATATGGACAATTGCATTCCGTGATTTGGAGGCGTATGAGCAAGAGCTTCTGGACATCGGTGATGAGTGGCTGGAAAAGGAGATAGAGCTTGCTGACGATTTGGGGGTCCTCGTCTTCCAATATCGGCGCATCGTGTAGGTGACGACATCCACGTTGCTGAATGCATATGGTGTGCGAGTCGGTTTATGCGATGGTAACTCCAATAGGTCCCTTGCTGCATTCAGGTGTTTCTGAAAATGTGGCAACGGATGTCTGGAGTCGAGGGATTCGCTATCAACCCGGAGTATGAGGAGGGGTCGGACACGGAGAGGCGTTATCGCAGCCCGGTGGGATGTGACTGGTTCCGCGATGCGACGGTGAGTGGGCTCTTGCTGCGGGTGTGGTGTGGTACAACTACTGGCACCCAATTCGCCATGTATGCACATTGCTAATCATGCACCGGCTCCTATGTATTTTGACAGGCAGCAACAAGGGAGAGGGGCATGAGCGCGGCGTGGATACTAATTTTATGTGATGCGACTCATTTGATATTCAACGACCGTCAGATGGCACACCCGGTTCTCTTCTCCTTGCTCAATATACCCGAAAGGTTACGTTGGATGCTGGGTGGCACCGAGATGGTGGCGCTGTTTCCACCGATGCCGGCGGAACTAACCGCAGAGGAGAAGACGGCGGTGTTCCAGACGATGGTGGATATGGTTTTTGGCCCTTTGATGCAGCTGCCCAAGAAAGATAGGTGTGCCTTGGTTGCTATCGCTTCATCCAGCAGCGCATGTTATGACTGTGGATCAAGTGTGACGAAACTGGGTTCGAATGTCCATGCAGCGAAGGAGTGCGTGTGGTGGACCACGAGGGCAAGGAGTACAATGTGGTCCCAATGTTGGCCATATACGCATGCGACCACACAGAGTCCAACTATGTCACATGCACAATGTCCGCGACGTCGCTGAAGCCGTGCTCGATTTGTAGCGTCAACCGGTGGCAGCTAGCCAAATTTGACGGGACCGTGAACCCCTGCCTACGCACGATTGCTGGCCAGGCAGACGCGCTCAGTATGATGGCCCGAGCGTCGCCCGCTGAGCTTCCCCGTGTGAAGCATGCATACAGCACTCACTTCGTGAAGGTGAGGCTTATACGCTTATGTGATGCTCTTGCGATGGTTCGGACCTACGTTGGGCTGTATTCCGCAACGCCTGTCTCTGCATATAGGGTCACACTGAACCCATCCTTGCCCCTTTTCAAACCCCAATGCAGTGCGCTCTGTGGGAATCGGAGTATCTAGACACCCCGTGGGGCAACCTGTACTGCACTATTGGCGTGTGTGTGCTTCATGTGGTGGACGAAGGGGTATGGCTTCATGCGATGCGTTACTTGGTTGCAAAGCTCACGCCTGCAGAGCTCGAGGAGCTGTTGCAGTGCGTGCTCGGATACTACTCGATACTACGTTGACCTCTACCGCTCAACAAACCTATACTCTGCCCTCTCCCGCGCTGCTCTCCCCTCCTCTGCCCTCCCCTGCACTGCACTCCGCTCCTCTACCTGATTTCTGATCTGCTCACACCCTCTATGCGCTTTCAGAATCTAGTGTCCCCTCATATGTCCATCTCTCCCGCAATGACGTCAATGACGTCCCCTCCACTGCCCCCAGCCCGCTTACTACCCTCCTCTGCTACTCATCCCGCCACTACCCTCACCCGCCATGCTCTCCCCTATTCTGACATCTCCCGCACTGCCACCCGCTTCTCTGCCCTCCCCCGCACTGGCCCGCTCCTCTGCCCTCCCCCATATGCCGTCATTTACATCAATACTGTGCCACAGGCCGATATGGTCTCACTCCCTCTGCCATGTGCCGCTATGTCCCCCCTTCCTCTGTCATGTGCCGCTATGTCCCCCATTCCTCTGCCATGTGCCGTTATGTCCCCCCTTCCTCTGCCATGTGCCGCTATGTTCCCCCTTCCTCTGCCATGTGCCGCTATGTCCCCCCTTCCTCTGCCATGTGCCGCTATGTCCCCCCTTCCTTTGCAATGTGCCGCTATGTCCCCCCTTCCTCTGCCATGTGCCGCTATGTCCCCCCTTCCTTTGCCGTTTGCCGCTAAGCTCTCACTACATTTGCCGTAGGCGGCTATGCTCTCCCCCATGTGGTTCCCCCTCCCCCGCTCTGCTCTCCCATGTGTTGCACTTCAAAAGTCCCGCCTTCTCCATGTCTCCCGGGTACGGGTTACTTCGTGTAAGCGTACGCGGTCTGTAGTGGCAGGCTCTGAAGACATGAACCCCACGCTGATACGTGGGGACGGATCGCTTAAGGCAATAGGAATGAGATGCCCTAGATTCGTGTGATGTGTGGGTTGCAGGCGCTTCCGGATCGTGCTTGCGAATACGCCGACGATACTACTGCGCACGGGTGATGTTTTGACCTATTTTTGCACTGTGGCGAAGTTTGCTGCCTGGGAGCACCGGGCAATGATGCAGATTTTGCCCCTGATATGCCACCTTCCCGGACGTGAGGACATCTGGGGCCTCATGGTGCTCTTCAACAAGTGGTATGTTGCGTATTTCAGAGCCGAATACCACACTGAGGACAATCTCACGGCCTGCACCAGGCAAACCACACAGTGAGTAGGGAGGAGTTGCTTTTCTGCCGGGCTCATTGGCGTTGGGTCATATCTCATTCTGGTACAGTATGGATGGGCAGGTTGGTCGACGGACTGATCCGGGTGTTCCCTAACCAGAAGCCAGGCTGGAAGCTTGTGAAGGTGCATGAGCTCTCCCACCTGCCCGCATACATCCGTGCACGTGGCCTGCCCATTGAATACTCCACCAACATGGGGGAGGCTCTTCACAAGACGTGTGTCAAACGGCATGCACGCAACAGCAACTGGCACGATGTGAATGCCGACATTGCGTTCTGCCATGAGCGATTTGCTGCAATCCAAGCCCTGTGCAGGGAGTGTTAACAGGAATGGAGTGTTGGCCCCGCCCTCGCTTGGGCAATGCCGACGACTTGGTCGGATGTACGGGAGTAGCAGCCGGCCGTTCACAGTGGGAGAGCTGCTCGACAGGCTTCGGCGAGCTGCAGGGGACCGTTGTGGTGTTGCTATCGACCAGGGAGCTCGACAGCCGCAAATGACTGGTCTGGGCGACGGGTGGGACGTCGACCACGACCTGCGGTTCGACAGGGAGGTCTCTGGAGCATCCCGTCGACCTGCAGTTCGACCGGGAGGTCGATAGAGCAATTCTGGTCGACGGAAGGGGGCCGTCGACCAGGGGGTAGCTCGACGGGAGTTGTGGTCGACCAGGAGCGCCTGGTGGTCGACCAGAGGGACCCAGGGGTCGAAAAGAGCACCAGGGGTCGACCAGGTCGACGAATTCTGCGGAGGCACGCGAACGTCGTCGAGATCGCGATGGCGCAGGCGACTTCGGGCTGGTACCCCGAAGTCGATGTGGCTCGTCAGGCGCAGACAACAGCCGACGGATGTCCAACGAGGCAAGTTGGGCCAATCGTCTGCGCGCACCTGCGAGCGCGCGCACTGCTGTGTTCTACGGGGCACGCCGTCGACCTGCTTTGTTGGCAGGTCGCCCTTCTGCAGTGCTGGCGCGGCTCCTCTACGCAATGCTGGCAGGCGGTCGACCGAGCTGCGCTGGCGGTCGACCAGGCTAGCTGCAGGGTTGCTAGGTGCCTGATGTAGTCATTGTTGTTATTGCTTCTTGAATTAATTCTGAAATTCTAACTTTGCTAGTGGAAACTCTTGCCAATTTCTCCCGTGAATGTGCAAGCACTAAGGAACCAAGCAAAGCTACAATCACCTCTAGTAGTTCATGCCAACCCTGTAGTCTAGCTCACTACTATTTTATAGTGAATCTCCGCATGGAGGAGGGCGGTGGGAAGGTGTACGAGACTGCAATGCGGCGGGTGAGACTACCTTCCAACAATGCCTGTTCTTCTTGTGACCCGTGCTTCCATATGATGTGTCAGTTTGCACACTATGTCCCATGACTCGTTTTAACTATTTGTGCAATGGTCTTTGTGGTGCTAACAGGTCGTGGCTGGCAACTATCGCGTCCTCACAAAGACGAGCACAAAAATGGTTATCAACTTGGCGACAGATGAGATGTGGCAACTGTTTGTGGACAAGGCGGGTGCGGACGCAATGGGGAGACTGAGTGTGCAGCTTGGGCGCGCCGGTCACCCAGCAAAGGTTTTCCAGTTACGTGTTTACCCCTAAATGCCACACACATCGATGGGGCTAACCTCTCCTGCTACGCCATCCCCTCCCCCGTGATATCACGCTCCGCTGTTTTACGCTATTCCATCTACCGCCTCTCCCACGTCCCCTAGACTCTCACCAACCCTGTCCATCCTTCAACAGCGCATCTTCATGACTACTCGGACCCTGGTGTTCATGGGATTGGCGGCCCTATCCCATTGTAGGCCTGTCTACTCATGAGGCATTTGATCATTCATTCCACAACCAAGGTAGGTTGTCTTAGTTTTGTCACGTGCCCAGGATCAGTAATTGCCTGGGCACCATCATGATAGGTGGCCAATGGAGGGTGTGTCATGCTAAGGGTGTGTATGTAGGTGGGGCTCTAGTCCATGGGTGTTTTTGGGCAAGGGTGTATCACTCCATGGGTGGTTCTGGGCAAGGGTGTATCAGTCCATGGGTGTTTCTGGGCAAGGGTGTATCAGACCAGCACTGCTTCTGGCCAAGGGTGTATCAGGCCATAGGTGTGTCTGGGCAAGGGTGTATCAGGCCATAGGTGTGTTTGGGCAAGGGTGTATCAGGCCAGCCCTGTTGACGGCCATTGGTGTATCAGTCCATAGGTGTTTTTGGCTGACGGTGTACCTTTCCAAGGGTGTCTCTGGCCAAGGTCGACGCAGTCTGGTGCTGGGCCATTGGTAGGGTGTCTCACAACACAAGGTATGTCATAACATACAGGGTTCACGTGGTGGACTCGGGGCAGGGGCTTCACATACCTCATACCCTGGTGGTCTCGCTCACGCCATCTGAGCCACCGGAGCCGTGATCCCAGCACCATCATCTTTTGCCCTACCCCCTATCTATTCCTCTGCTCTTTCATCACCGGGTCATGCCCCCACCCGATTTTCTCTCCTATCCTTGGAATGTATCCGCTATGTTATGCTATGGTATCCCTGCTCTATCTTACAACGCTCCTTCTTCCCGCCCGTGGGCAGATTCACACGGCACTGGCGCTACCTCCCCACAATCGAATGGACCGTGGTGATAACGGCCAGATGGTGAACGCTTCTCTGAAGGCGGGCCGGTTCTCACACATCAAGATCGAGGGAACTGGCCGGGCGGTCTGGTATGGGAAGTGTTTGGCGCTGTTTCACATCGCCACCCAATCGAAGCCCCACCCCCGCTTTGCTTTTATTAAGTAATTCACAGAGGGCACGTGGGCAGCCACCAGATGCATCCGTTCGACCCCCACCGTGGGGGACGACGCGTATGCTGTGATCGACGTGGACTGCATCTTGTCGTTGGCACACATCGTGCCTTCGTTCATGGATCCAAACACTCTCCTGGTCAACCGTTTCTTGTCTCCATGACCAGCGACGAGCTGTGGGAATCCTGCAGGTTGAGGCAAATACTGTCCTGGTCAACTGAACGCCTCTATAATCGTTTTTGTGATGTTGGCTTCTGTACGGGGTTAGTGACTGTGCCGTAGGTATTGTGGTTATGTAATATTCATTGGCAGCTTTATCTAGGTACATGGATGTTTGAAGTTGTGTTATCCTTGTGGGTTCCTCACTGTTATGTTTATCTCAAAAATTTATGGACGCAGAACCAAACAATTTAGTAGCCTTTGCATTTTATTTTATACACTATTGGTTGTCTGGATCATTTTTAATAGATGTTATTGGACGGTCGAAGTTATGACGAGTTCACCTTAGTTTCTAAACCTTTGTATTATTTCGATTATAAACTTGTTTTTTTTTTTTTTTTTACAGTTGCATGCCATTGGTCAATGTTGACTCGAAGTGGAGATCCGGGCCAATCTGAATTTCGATTGGCCAATGTTTTCGCTCGTTGCGACCCGGGGCATTCATGTCATGTTTGTTGCGTTCCGATTGGCCAATGCTCAATGGAATGGCGGCTCGGTTGTTCTGGGTGCACAGTGCGGGGTCAGGTTGGGGTTATTTTTGGGTCAGGCGGGCTTTTTCCACTGGATTTTGTAACCCGAAGGCGACCCGCGGGTCTCGCCAGACTGCACTTGACCTGTAAGTCACCTTTGGGTGAGGTTCAGATAACCTAGTAGTAACGTTGGGGTCAGCTATTTCGTCAGGTCAGCCTAGGGTGGGCGTACATCCCACACGTACATAAATTTTCTTTGAACCATGCCTTCGGAGTACAGGCAACTACTAGGAATAAAATCCTTCGAACCATACCATTGTACAGAGCCCTATTTTTATTCTCGGGCCATGTTTAAAGCCTAGCGACGTTCGCGGGGAGCAGCGTCTGTCAGGGGCGGACAGAAAGAAGCTTCGGCGAAACATCCGAGAGAAGTTTCCAGGCACCACTGACGACGCGATCCTGCTGCCCAAGGTGCTTCTTAGTAGCTCCCCGCTTTAACCCTCGTATCAACCCCACGGTTAACCTCCATGAAGACCCACTCATTCGCCTCATGATAACCTGCGTGCTGAATCCTCGCCGCTCTTTCCTAACCACGCCGTCCTTAATCCGCTACGATGCTTGCGCTCTCCGTATTTCCTGCCCTCCTCAGTGGAGTTTTCAGAATCCATACGATTTTTTTTTTTGCAAGGAACTTGCCTCGGTTTGTTTGGGGATCCAGGCTGGCGTGGCAGTGACGAGGCTGGTGAATCGCGTGCTGGTGTACGGACTCGAGAGCGGGCTGCCCATGCTCTTCGACTGCGACGGCAGGGGCACCAAGATCTACCCCACTGGTAACCACATCGCCATGTAACCACACAAATTCTCACACAAACCCTTTTTCCCCCCCCCCCTCCTCCTTTCCTCCTTCGCCGCTCCACTCCGTTGTTCTTTCCCCCAGCCCTCATGCAGGTATAATAATTCAATTTTCCGGTTATATATTTTCCCCCTTCCACCAATCTCCC